ACTGAACCTAGGGCTTTGAACTAGTGGGCAAGTGCTTAGGTTGGGTTGGGATTTCCTTTGTTTCAATATATATTTTTATTGAATTTTTGTTCATTTCATACAATACATCTCAATCATATTTAGGCCCCCTCCCCTATCTGCATCCTCCGTAGCTCCCCCCACCACTCCAGATTTCATATATTCTGTCATATATGTTAAGCCCTATATAGGTTGGGATTTCTTATTCAATTGCCTGTGTCTATGCTGGGATTTTGTCTGGTTTGAGCTTGAATGGGACTTGTGCAAGCTGTCACCATTGTTGTGAGTTCATATGAGTAAATTTAAGACTGTCTCACTAAATTTCCTAGACAGGCCTTGGAAGCATGCTGTAGTCCAAACCTTGAACTTGAAATCCTCTTGCCTCTGTCTCCAGGGGAGATGGAATCACAGGCCTGTGCCACCCAGCCTGCTCTACTTTTACTGTCAATACTCTAATCACAAGGATCCCAAAGTTTGCTCCATAGACCCTCTTTCAATCACTCTCTAGTCATCATCATCATTGCTTTGTTTCCAACATCTCGTTAGCGCCCAAGTCAATCCTTAATGCAACTGACGCTAATTTGGCTTGGCTTGGCTTATTCTTTCAGGATCTAAGAACAACTTTACACACAATAGAAACGTAAATACAACATCAGTTTTTTGCTTTGTTTTGTTTTGTTTTGTTTTTAAGCACAGCAGGTTGAAGGCAGGGGTGATACTGAGCATTTACCCTCCACACTGAGGCATTTCCCAGGCAGCAATAAAGGTCCGTCACTCACTGTTATCCTTCTTGGAGTAATCAAAACACTTGCCAGTGCCTTTATATTCCTGACCATTGTGCCTGCCAATGGACAGTATTCCTCTTTGGCACTAAATTTTGGACAGACTGCTTCTAGAAAAGTTTTTAAGACACTAACCAAGGATACACCTGTAAAAGCATTCAACCAGGAGAAATGATTTGGGCTATTTGCTACATCACCAGTGTTTTCACTTTCAGAAACATTTTCAAGAACCTGTACTTTGCATCGTCTTACCAAGCACAACTAATCTAGTTGCTTTTTCTTCATCTTTATTTCCGGTCTGGTATTTCTGCCTTCAAGAGCTACTTTGTCCAAGGAAAAAGGTGCTTGATCTTCAAGATAAATGAAATTTGGCTGGAAAAAGGATTGGGTCCACAGATCCATTCTCACGACGCCCAGAGCAGTTCTGAAGCTCCAATCTTGTGAAGACGTCATGAGTCATATATATCTGAAGGATCTTGAGTAGGTGGATGACTTGAGGCCCAGGACATGATGTGACAAATTTCAAGAAAGCAGAGCCAAAACAGCATTTGTCTCCCACATGCTGCGATCATTTCTATTAACATAGTCCTTTAAGGATACACAGTTCCTCATAGGAAGTGTCCTTTGAACATGAAAAGACCAGACCTGGGAAGGCAGACCGCTGCTACAATCTCTCAGCACTTTGGGGTGAATTAGCAAAAGATGTCTCCTGCGTCCACATGCCATCCCGGACTTGCCTTCTGAGCAAAGCATGGGTTGGATTTTGACCTTCCCTCTTTCCCTCTTACTTGATCTCTCGTCACTGAATATCACTTGATTTCTTGGAACACTGGGGAAGCATTCATTCTTCCATTCACTTACCATGTGCTTCAGGCATAAAAACATTTGGGCTCTGAAGGATTTAAATCTCAAAATGATGTTTCATTAGAAAATGTCCCTCAAAACATGATGGTTCAGAGATAGGAAATGGAGACATCAAGGGGAACCAGTGAGCTTGGGAGTGGGATGAAGAAGCAGAGGAGGCAAGTTCAGTCGGAAGGTAAGACTGATGGGTTGCTTATTAATTTGACTTTCATATCCGGCTAGGAAATGTTCAGTGAGCAACAGGAAATGTACAGCTTGAGCCTCTCATAGCAGCCCAATATTGAGATATCATTGGTGGCTGAAAACAGGAGAGTGAAGCAGAGTACTGAGGCAAAGATCAGACAAGGGAAGACCAGGGAGCTGAAGACAAGGGGTCCAGGCTGCCTATGGGGTGCAGTGGGAGGGAAGGCAGGTTGTACCTGTTTCCAATTCATCATAAAGGATGGTCTGTTTACTTGTATGTAAATATGTATGAAGCCAATTATGCCATAGACTTTACAGAAAAAATTAGCAAAAGTTTTTTTAATTATTTATTCTACTATTTTTAATTAAGCACAGAGACATCTCTCCAGCCCTGAGCAAAATCTCTTAAATATACAAATAGCAATAAAAACAAAATCAGCAACACTGATATTCTCATAGAATCTTCATTTACAAGGGTATTTAAAATCTAGTTTCAGGAGCAAATGTTGGGAAATTACTAAAATGACTGATCAAATAAACTGGAGCAGAGAAAAAAACTCAGTCATCCGTGATGCCGGGTTGTCAGCTTGGTCGCCACCAGGGCATTTTTACTTGTTCATTTACACGTTCCGCCTAAAACCTGAGGTCAAAGAGAGCCCACAACAAAGCCAGTCAAGGCCTCTGAGGTTTCACTCCCTTAACACTGTATTTCTATATGAATGTACATATTTATTCCAAGTGGCAAGCAGATTTGGACTCCAAGATCATCTGGCTCCACTCAAGCCACTCACTGTTTCTGTCTTCTCTCTGTGTGATTTCTTTCATACTCCATCCTTGTTTTAGAGTTTTCTTTTTCATTGGAGGAATAGATTTGGAACTTTGAAGCTTCTTTGAATAATGTTGTCAAAGTCAGGCTGATCCTACCCCTTTGCATCTGAACAGGTAGCACACCCTCCTCCCCTCACTGTGTTTAAGATCCTTTGTGTGTCCTATTGAGACATCAGGAAACACTGGGTCTCCTTTCAATGTCTTCTCAGCCTCCCTCTTTCTTTTATGACACTCTTTTTTTTTTTTTTTTTTTTTTTTTTTTTTTTTTTTTAAAAAAAAAAAAAAAAAAAAAAAAAAAAAGAGGACGATAAATCTTTCACTGTGATATATCAAAATAA